CAAGGTGCGCTGTTTGCAAGTTGTTGCTACCAACTGTGAATTCCACACTATATATATACATATGTATATATACACATAGAACAGTAGGTTTCAGAATAGGTCGACCCCCAAACCATGAGGTGACATTGTCCCCACCCCTTTGAGGGCTCCAATGTCGTCTGCTCGCAAATGATTGGAAAGACTTCGAGTCTGACACTTCACTTTCAGGAGATCAACCGGCGAGATTGGCCGCGATCAAGTCGTCTAGGTTTACGACCAGTCTGCAAACCCTTGAGACCAAACAAACAGTTTTAAAGGCTTAATGGGGAGGGACCCGGGTGCTCATTATCCTTTGGAACTCCTGGTAGAGTATTTAGGACAGTGTGGCTTTTGGCAGATCTTTCGCAAATCCAATGACCTCTGTGCAACAAACAGAAAAGTGAAGTGGACGGCCTGTTAGATAAAAGGTCCTCGGGAGACGCTGCAACTGGGGGTGTGAAACATGGGAGATCCACGTAATCTAGGTCGTGCAGTAGGGTGACCCCATATTGCGACCTATAAGGAAGGTGCTGGACGACCTCTACATTAGGTCAGGAGACCCCATAAATTGGGCCCATAAGGAAGCTGCTGGACGATGTCTTTTTAAGGCCGACGCCTCTCCGCCTGAGCGTCCGATCGGACGCTGGATGGACTGAGGGCGCCATGCTGGGAGGAAGACAAAGCACGTAGGACTTCAGCACTGCTGGAAGGACTTACACTCCCTGGAATCCATCCATGGACGAGGAGTGGAGTTCACCACCTGTTGGGGTATCCGGAAGATGGCCATCCGAGTCTTTCGGGGCCCATGCCCTCCGTCATGCCAATTCCAGGGAGCGTAGCGACTCAACCGTACCACCTTTCCCAAGTACGAGAGCGTCCGACCGCACTTGCCAGAACTGGTCGGAGACCTTCGATACTTGCAGGGAGCGAACCTGAAAAAAGGATCACTCCAAAGAGAATAGGTGCAGGTCATGAACTTCGATACTTGACAATGGAAGAACCCCAGATTTTTGGGAGAATGCCGGCAATGTGACCGATTAGACCACTGTCCGTGCCTCAATTAGGCCAATCTGCTGATGATTCCTCATCGTTTCTTCTTAAGACCACTGTCCATGTCGATTGGCCTTTGATGAGTGGCTTCCCCATAGTGCGACCTCAAACAGCGTGGACGATCACGACGGGAGGAGAGGATGGAGACGGACCAACGATGGTCCTGAAGAGGATCAAGGGACCAAGCCTCTATTCATTTGGTTGATTGAACTGGATGTACCAGGTGTTTTTAGGTTCAATCCACCAAGGAAAAGGCCCGCTCGATTTTACTAGGCCCCACATGTCCGTCGCCCTCCCCGCTCCCGGCAACTCGGTGAGACGGACCGGCCGACCGACGGAGGCCGAGGCGTTTTGATGAACTTCGCGCGCGCGCGCGAAGGACACCGGAGCAATCCAAAAATGTGGCTTCCTCTTGTTTGCCCAATAAGATCCAATAGGTGGATTTACGACCTGTTGCAACTTTTCTTGGGACAAAACAAAAAGGGAGACACAAATAGAAGACACAAATCTTTTATCCCTGTGCGAATTTCCTCTAAAGAATAGGACAACCCGGGTTGTCTTAAAGAATGAAATCAGTATGAAAAGCAGGGTGGAAAGGACCACTGTGAAGGTGGGGGTTGAAATTCTTTACAGGTGGGTAGGTGGACCCTGATTCTTTAGAGAAGAACTATGGATCAACATCTTTAAAGACACTTGGGCAGCCGATGGACAGAGAAAAGAGGAGCGTGCTTGAAGATACATCTCAAATGGCAAATTCGACTCGAGCCCGGGTGTACTGATTCTTTAGGTTTTTGATTTTTTTGAAGGTCAGTGTCTATTCTTTAAAGAAGCATGTTTTCCATTGATTCTTTAGGTTTTGTGGCTCCAAGGTTTGTGATTTTTTAGTTACCTCTGACTACCTGCCAGCCTGGGTTCCTAAAGAATAGGACAGCCCGGGTTCGAGGTCGAATTCGATGGGGGATAATCTTTTAGGGTTTTTGGGTTCTGTATTGGTCTTTTGAGAGGGGATTTTTCTTGGGTGTCTTCGCTTGTGGGTCGCCTCATTTGTCAAAGAATGACCCTGGAAGGACCAAGTACCCTGCCCGAGCTGGGAGAACATGTTTTAGCGCCGGTGGAAGGAGCCGGTTTTTTCTGCTCAACAAGTTTCAAACAGATCTGGGGCATGTCCTAAGAACGGTTACGGATTCACGAGGTGTTTTGTTTCATGTTTTCTATCCTGAGGTGGGGCAACTCAAGTGTTCTCTACTCCCATACTTCCTGGGTCAGATTGCAACATATTGGAACGTGGCATATCGAAACGTTTCGCGAAGTCTCCATCTTCTCTACACAGCTGTAGCCGGCGCCGGCTCACTGGACCCTGTGCTTGGCGAGAAGCGAGCCGAGCATTTTTGGCGGAACTGACCGAGGTAGCTTCACAAACTTATATAAGGAAACCGTTGGCAGAGGTAAACTTAAACAGTCTTCCAGAACAGCAAGTTTCAAGTTTCACCTGAACATCGGGCAGAAAGTTTGAAGCGTGGGGACCGGACAGGCTTCTGAGGAAAGTGTTTATAGCCTGGTCAATGAAATATCGGCATCGGCGACTAGCTTCCAAGGTTTCTTCTGCCACGTTGAGTCAATGGCTCAGTCTCATTTGTACATTTGGCGGGCTGACGAAAAGAGCCTTGCGCCTTGTCTGCGTTGCCAAGATAAACCAATATGTTTACTTGTGAAAGAGAAACGGCAACCAGCCCAAAATGCTGTCAACAAGAATCAGAGTGACCAACCCCGAGTTTTTGAGGAGCTGAGAGAAAGCGCGGGATTCGCGCTGATTCGTGCCAAAATTGATTCATGGGCTGATCGGAGAGTTCGATGATACTGAACATCCCTGCCATCATAGCTGGTAAAATGGTGGACAAATTTGGTAGGGGATGTGAACACTGAACCCAGGGTTTGGTAGGGGCTTTGGGGGGGGTTTTGATTGGATGGATGTCTGAGCACCTTCCCGCGGATTCTCCAAGATGCCATGCAATGCATGATGTCCTCAATCTGGTCATGCTTTGAGCCTCGCGTGCTTTGGGCTACCTTGAAGATCCCACAGCCCACCTGCCGATTCGAGCAGGGCTTTGCGGAGAAGAAGACCTGTTAACCCCCCTTCCAACAAACATGGTTTGGTGGACCGTCTCCTGTTTGTAGAGGATTTCATGGTCTTTCCAGGGGCATTCTGCAGTCATTTTCCACTTTCATGATTGTTTCAGAGAGTGTCTGTTCTCTTGAGCCATTGGGTTGAGTCATTGGGTTGCTTCCAGTGTCCGGGTCGTTCTTGTTGCACCCACACGGATCGGCTCCCGTCCGCCGGGCTGGCCCAAACACCTCACTAATCGGTCAGTGATTCGGGCTCCCCCAGAGCCGGGGCGGACGTCCACCTCTACATGAGGCGGTTCCGCTCCGTGCACGGTTTCTTGGGCCGTAGTACTGAGCGGTGCACGGAACGGAGGGGTTCCAGTGGTTGAAAGGGTCCAACGAGGTTCCGGTGTTTTGAATAATGGGAGGCGAAAGGCATCAGAGAGGTTTGGAGTCTGTTTTGATCAGATTTCCTGCTGCAGAACTGCTAGGGACTTTGGAAAGGCCTTGGATTCGAGGAAGACTGATCTTGTTTTCAGATGACTTCTTTCTGAAGGGGAAGCATCACCTCATGCTGGGCAGAGGGGTGGTCTGTGTGAAAGTCACCAGACCCAAAAGAAGACAGGTGAAGGGCAAGCACTTCTGGTGTTGGGAGAGGGTCCGCGGTGTCAAAAACCAAACATGCCAAAGAATGCTGCTGCTAAACAATGATAATGTAGGATCTAGATCAATAAAGTCCCCTCATATGAAGAGGGTGCAGTTCCCCAAACTTGCTTGGGATTCTTTGGAAGACGACTACAGGTGGTCAGTGTCAGAGACATTCCCACTTTCCGCTCCTGCAAAGTGGACTGCCTCTGGAAACACATGGAAACATTCAAGCACAGATCTGCTGGGCATCGTCTTCCCCCAGGCATGGTTACTATGCGCAGAGTGTTTCCCAGGGAAAGCAACATACGAACCATCTCGACCAAAATGCCAAACCAAGACTTAATCTTGGTGAACAACCAACGGAATGTGAAATGCTCATCCTCAAAGGCTTCCAGCCGAAAACCTTGCAAGATAAAGAAGATGGAAAGCTCAGCATAAGAAACCTGGCAGCCTGGTCTTTCCATTTCAACCCGACCACAAAGCCTCTACATTGCTGCCAGTCATTCTCTGGAAGCGCTGGTAGCAATCTCCCCTTACGTGTCTCCAAGGCGAGTCGTACCACTTGACCTTCATTTAGCCGTGCTTCGCTGATCCCTTTTTCATTTGGGTTGCCCTTGTCGTGCTGAACGAAGCCGGCACTGTACACAACTTTGCTCTGACTCGTTGTGTGTGCGGGAGGTGGAAGAGGTTTTACAATTCAAACGGGGGGGGCCTTAATTGATCAAGATTCTACATTAGCTTTACAGGCGTTCTTTCAAGTTCTTCATGCAGTTCAAAGGCTGGGATGATTGACGATTCCTTGTCCTGACAAACCGCATCGCCTTTTCATCCTTTTCTCAGGATCTATCCCCTTTTCTATGCCTGGATAGCGGCTCCACCGTAGCTGGTGAAGACCATGAAACTGGACAGGAAGAGAAAGACTTGCAAACGTACGCCAATTGAATTCCCGACCCCTGCACCTGAACGGGGATGGAAAAGTAGGAATACCTCAAATAGGCCATTGGTCCCAGTTTCCATTTGCTTCCTGTCTTCGGGTGGCCGAACCGATGCCCGCTGGCCGGCGAAAGACCCAGTCCGACTCCCTTGACCGATCCGAGTCCCTCGAGCGGAGCCGGGCTGAGGTGAGCATGGAAAGTGCTGCTCACCTCCCAGGCGCAACAAGTGCATCGCTACTAGTAGCTCCTGGCATCGCTACGAACGGAGCGATCGGACGCTACTAGTAACAAGGGCATCGTTACTAGGAACAAGTGCATCGCCTGCGGTGGAATCGGGATGCAGGTGAGGGTGAATAGGAGGAAGATAACATGGGGTGGTACTTGTTGGTGGAAGCCTGAAAGAGATTCAGGGGCTTAGTGTGAACTGGGAGGAACCCACTCAGAGATGGACGTGTGGTGTATGCGAGTAGGTGAAGAGGAGATTTTTCTTGGATTCCAACGATGAAGAGGTTCAACACCAAAATAGGTACGCCGTTGTTTGTTCTGGGCAGGGATTTGTAGAAGTAAATTACATGTTGCTTCGAGAGATTTGCAGAAGGGATGCTCTTTTATGGGCAGCCAGGTTCTTCCATTCAACCAACGAACCAACCAGCCAAGCTACTGAAGGCAATTTGGAAAGGACAGTGCAAAGGTTGTATTCAAGCAAGCGTCCAGTTTCTTCCTATCCAATGGACCATTTGTGCTGTGGGATACTGCTAGACATTCACATAGACCCTAGGCATGGAACATGGCTCCTTTGGGAGGTGCGTTCCATGTCTGTGTTCATGATCAGCAGTGTGCAATCCTTCTAAACTCCCAGGCCCTGAGTGACCCCTATGATTTTGGACCACCAACCGGTAACCAACCATCTAAAATATGGTCAAGCTTCCTATCAAAACAGGGGCCAAGTAGGTTCTAGATTCTATATGCTGGTACGCATTGGCTTTTCACGGCCCGCACGGGGTGTCCGTTGGAGAATCCCTGTCCTCTGAAGAAAGAAAACACGCAGAGATGGCTGTGGGTCACCGGCAGCCGTAAAAAGCCTGGTAGCTTGACCTGGCTGGTAATCAATCTACTCATCTTCCGCGGTCCAAAAAACCTGGCCCCCCTTGCGGGATTTGACCCAGAGCCATATGGGTGCATAATGTAGAGCATAGCATCGTTCGATTGCTTCAGTTCATCTGGCCTCCACACGTCCAACAGGCGAATCAACTTGCTGCACAACAGGTGGATCAGACTGGCTTTCCACACCATATCGGCAGTACTTTCACTGCTTGATGTTCATGTTCCAACGAGTCCGAGACTCACCAGGACCAAAGTCTGAGCCTGGTATATCCTGAGCTCATCAGC